TTGAAAAATTTGTCAATTCACTTTCTGCATGACAGTAAATAAATTTTTACTAATACATACATGCTTTAATTTTATATTTATATTAAAAAACAAACTTCAAATAAATATACCATTATCGAATAAATATACCATATTCGAATCATACTGAACAAATAAAAAAGATATATTTTTATTTTTAATAAAAAACAATCAGAAATAGAAAAATTGAAAGTGTATAATATATACTATGCGATAGAAATATAAAATATTATTATTATTTTAGTGAATGTTATAATTTATTTTATTTTATTGTACAATTAATAAATCAATTAATGTGCAAATATAGTTTTTTAACAAAATATATATAACTTATTCATAATAATTATGAAAATTTCAAGTTAATTATTTAGATTATTATTTATTTATTCTTTAAGAAAAATCAACACGATAAAAGTATAAGATAAATAATAATATTTTTGGTAAAATAAATAATGATATTTCATAGAAAATACTTTCATAGAATTTCATTTTCTTATTAATAATATATAGTATTATATTTTTGCAATATTTTTTGTTTTTTTGAAATACAATTTTTTTTTATTTTTTTATCAAATTTTTTATCATTTAAATAAATATCTCAGACATTCTTTTTAACCAATTACATTTCAACAATATTGAAATTTAAAGATCAGACAAATCATGATAAAACTTTAATTTTCTTTACTTTTAGAAAATTTGTAATATGCTTCACAGTACATATATTTGAATTATCGCGTTGAAATAAAAAATTTTTTTTCATTTAATATACTTTGTAACAATAAAATGCAAAAATATAAATAGGAAGAATAAAAAAATAAGTTTTAATAAATTGATAAAATAAACTTACAACCGAAGAGCAGAGAAGAGAATAAAAGTAAAAAAGTAATTTATTTTTCGATAAAAATACGCTTTAATTTAAATAATAGATAGATCAAATTATTAATTTTATCATTAGAAAAAAAAGAATTTATTAAACAAAAAAGACAAATGGACGGAAATGGGAAGCAAAATTTGTAATAAAAATAATATCAAATTTATTCATCAAAAAATGAATAGCAAATTATAATATGATCAAATTGATTGAACATTTTCATCGGATTTCAACAAATTTTAATACAAAAATTTAAATATATATATATATATATATATTGTAGATATCTCTATTTCAATATTATTGACAATTGTTAAAGAATGTTTATCCAAGTTATTTATTTAAATAATTGATAGCGAACAAATTGATAATATAAAAGAAAAAATTATATTTTTTTCTTAAAAAATGAAAAGCATTAAATTAAAAAGTCAATAAAAATTTATATAAATCATTATAATATAGAGAGAATAATTGAAGCCATTAAGAAAAAAGACATTACACATTATTAATAAAAAAATGAAATTTATTTTTTATCAATTATTCTTATTTATTTTACTAAACTGTTACTTGTCTTCAATTTTGCCACACTGGTTCTTCTTAAAGAATATGTAATTCTAAATAATTTTCAATTAACTTTTACAATTTTCACAATTATTAGAAATAAATGTATTTACTAAAGAACTGTACTTACATATTGATAAATGTATAAAAAAATGAAAATAAATCATAATATTCATAAAAATGGAAATAAGTATTTTACACCTTTGTTGCGAAATATATTTTTTACAAATTGGATTTCAATTCCAACAATTATCATATGCATTAATGTTGAGAATGATTCGAAAATAATAGAATGCTATGAAATATTCGAGATATGGGACAAAAAATGCATTAGATGTTACGTGTTTTCTGTATCCTAACTCTATCAATATTCTACTATTTGAAATAGATAATAGATAAGTATATATTTAAATATACATATTTAAGTAAATATGTACATGACACAGTATATATATATACATGATATACATGATATACATGATATATCTGAAAATATTGAATTGAAATCTAAAAATAAGAATTATATATAAAACTTGAAATATTCTATTTAATTTTTTTTACCAAATAAAATAATTTTTATATGAAAATTTTTAAAAAACTTTTAGTAATTATAGAATTAGTGTACAATGAAAATTGGATATACAATAAATCGTAATAAAAACTTGTAAATCATAACAAACTAAAACTAGTATTATCACTATCTATCTCCATAACCAAAACAGTTATCAAGTACACAACTTGTTATTTTTTACTTAACGATCTACATATCATCTTTTCACAGCTATTGCCCACATAAATATATAAGTAAATACTTACTATATATAAACTGTAGTTAATTCCTATGTTATGGCCATAACTGAAGAGAAATATAGATTTTTTTTGAAAGTCGATATTTCAGAATATATGGAATCAAATTTCATAAAATGTCACATCTACATTTTATAACTCATAGTTTTCAAGCTTTCCAAAGACGTGGAATATAAATGCGTTGATCGATAAGCTTATTCTGCATCTCATTCATTATCCCTATTCGTTAATTCATCGATATAAAACTGAATAATCTTGCGACATCTATGTATCGAAAAGACATATCTATTCTTTCATTTATCATATTCATTCATTTATAATTTTCAGTTCATTACTGTTACAAACAAATTTCGTTAAATTTTAAATCTAAATTTAAATTTGAATAATCGCGAATTAAAATTTAAAATTAAATGATAAATGCGATATATATGCATATATATATAAACGCAATATTTAAAATATTCAAAATTCTCTGTAGATGGCGGTGATGTGTATCAATGATAATTAAGAAGGTATCTCTTATCATCAGTTTGTAAGTGGCGCGCAACTAAGTAAATGTCATTTTACACGTTTTCCATTTTGATTTAGTATATTTTGTTCATTCTCTAATAATTTTTATCTTTTTCTTTTAATGATATGATCATAGTAACAAATCGTAAGTTCTCGAACCATACTTTTTACATCATTGAAGTTAATTATCGTTATCTTTGATTGCACTCAATCGTCGCTTCATCGATTTCAAAATCGATCAATGGCGTCTCCTATTGCACTCGTGTTTGCGTTATTCGATATTAACAGATGATTTATTCCACTTTACTACTCATTCGATCATCTTACGACTACAAAGCGGTAAGATTTCGAGACAAGTGCATCTTTTGTTTTGATACGTTTTTGACACCAAGCAAAGCATAAATCGAATAATGTCGAATGTTTTATACGTTGTATCATATGTATTGTAATCAATATATTATCTAAACATGTATTTGACATCGTTTTAACGCTAAATGATGAAGCATGGATGAAACTTCCGTTCAATTTGAATTTGACATTTTTTTCGCTTTTTCTTTTCCATCAATTATTCGATCATCTTTTTAAAAATGTAAATATATATTTTTACATTATTTTGAACAATTTCATTGTTCGTTCATCGCGTATATTTGACGTGAATCTTCAAATTTATTAAAACACGTAGGAAACAAAATGGCGGGAAAACATATGTAGTACGAATTTAGTTTCGCAGGATAAAAGAGGACACAAACGGTGTATTACCTATGATCGATAATTTAGCTTACTAACGATAAGATCGTAAAAAGTTATTTTTCCCGATGATAACAATTGCTAAAATTTAAACCCGCTTTGATATATCATTTGAATTAATAATACTTTGTAAGAATTAATCGTATCTCCATGTTTATGTGTTCGAGAACTAAACTAATATATCAACTATTGATGAAATATAAGCAGGAAACGCAAACAATGTGAGGACAGAAATATGAAAATTTAACAAGAACCGAAATATGATTTACTTTTATGTATCTAAATACGCGTCTCGCATATAATTGTACAATAATCATCAAAGCAGGAATCGTTTGCAAGAGATCGTTCGTTATGTTTGAAAATGCGAGATCAGGTTATCAACAGTATACTTTACTTATTCATATGTTCAATTCTACAGTCAAAAATATATTTTACACCAGAAATTTAACATTATGATACTTATATGTATGTATGTACATATATATACATATATATATATAATCTCTATATAAATATATATATACATACATACAAACATACACACATACATACATACATACATACATATATACATACATGCATACATACATGCATACTTACATACATACGTTCATCCACAAATACGTAGACGCGCATATTTGAAACGAATACGAAGAAATAATTTATTTTTCATATCCAAACATTGGAAAAGGCTAAG